GGGAGGGGAGTTATTTAAGCAAGCTTGTTCGGATTTCAGTGAAAACCTGTCAAGCGTGATTAAAACTGCAACGCACAGAACAGCAGTCAGTCCTGCAGAGGACGGGAGGGGGCGGAGAGGAGTAAAAGGATTGAAGATAGAATTGTGGAGACCGTATGTTAATCATCGATCTTTACACAAGCTGTGAGGCTAATCACGTGATCGAGCTGCTTACAGATTTCTGGTTTTCTCCGTATAGCCCCGCGTCTAAAAAGCGCAGGAGGTTCCCAGTCGTCGACCGAAGTATACAACCTTAAAAACAGTCATTGGGTTCACCATATGGCAAGGGTCAACGCGGTGCTTTGTAATTTATATCATGGGCATTTTGTTTCCGCCCTTAGCAGCCACTTCGGTGCATGTTCAGCTGACCAAGTATTTCTTCACCTTTATCCTGTTACGAGTTAAACTAATGTCGCGGTCCCCAATAGCGCAGTGGCCTAAGTTAATGGGCAAAACTCTTGCCACTCGATCTTCAGGGCCGGTTCCGCGTGGGAACAGCAAAAGGGAGATGCTAGACTGGACTGAGGTAGGCAGGTACTGGTGCATGCGCACGTGCACGCAAGAGATTGACCCTTGACGCAGTTTGCGGCACTTGTAAATGGTTGTCACATAGGCGGGCCGAGAACTGCAGTCAAGTGACCTCATGCGTGGCGTAGCACCAGAGGTGGAAGGTGAGAGGGTACTCCCTTCCCAGGCCGGAGTTTAAGCTATAAAATAATCCAAACGGCGGAAGAATAGCTAAATTTAGCGAACGAGATAGGTAATAACGTTATTTTTGTGAACATCGTGGGTGGCCGTGGTTGGCAGGAGGGAGCCAGGTTGCTAGGGCGGCTTGAAAAAGCTAATGGTTAAGTTGCACGTCGACGGCAAATTCGTACGCCGTGTCAGTATGTATTGAGTAGATTGAGGCGAGATACTGTAGCAGCCCTTTAGTGCCACTTCCTCCTTCCGCGTCACGCCACACATGAAATCACGTGATGGTGGTCACTCACACCTTAGGCAGTCACTCAAAATGTTTCTATCTGTGTTCAAGCACAATTGAACAGTCGGTGCTACTGGTTTCTGGACTAATTTTCCTCCCCGTGTCCTTTGAATTACCTTTCCCAGAATAAAGTTGACCCAATTGTGAAAAATTAGCGGCCTTGGTGGGATTCGAACCCACGCAGCAGGGAAGGCTTTTGTACAGTCAACGCTCTACCATCGAGCTACGAAGGCCCACCGAAGCTTTAAATTTCATCACGCTCCCCAATAATTACCCGAGAATGTTGCGCAAATAAACTGCATGTT